GTTGTGATATACATACTGTATTACTCAGGGGTTGTGATATACATACTGTATTACTTAAGGATTGTGATATACATACTGTATTACTCAGGAGTTGTGATATACATACTGTATTACTCAGGGGGTGGGATATACATACTGTATTAGGGTTTGTGAGGTTCCGTGCGTCCGTTAACCAGCTGCTAAGATGATTATATGTACTCCTCCTGTAATGAACAGAAATACAAAATGTATGTGTATAGACATTTGAGCAGATACACCAGAGTGCCTCATTCATTCCTAATCTTTGAAATAATGAGATAAAGAACATTCACTGACTGAGACAATGAAACCTGAACGAGGTGGATAGCCAGAAAAAAAATCACAACCATAGCCCAAAGTTTGTTTTTCATCTTGACCAGGGTAACTGATGATTGCTTTCAATATTTAAGTCCTACCAGTTGCTCTGTCATAATCTAGTATAACTTTTTGTATCCTGTATATAAACATTGTGTATAACAATGCAAGTGCTGATTGTAATGGGAGCTGTTAAAAAGTCCCCAAAACTAGTCCCGCAGTCACAAATGATGCCAATAACAGTTGCAGTAATGCTTATAGCACAACTATACACCTACCTACCAAATATGAGCAAACTCAATATCTTAATTTCAACCTATCACAGACGGTGGCATGACACATCGAAACATGAAGAGTCTGTCAGTTGCATACCACCCTCCATTTACCAACATTCATGTTAAGTTTCATAAATTCTGCCCAATAGCTATATATAATATAGGTTTTATGAAAAGTGGCAGAAACCATGCCAGCAGACATTCATACTTAAATCATAGATCATGGGGCTACTATTTTATAGCTTCTTTTTAATAGAGGTTGGGTTATTCAATCTAAACCACTTAGAGATGCAGATTCTAGCTATAGTCTCTATGGTAACTCTAATGTTATCTACTTTGCAATCTAATGAACCAATTAAGCATCTACCAGCATCTTGATTAAACTGTTTTGAAATTAATTTTGCATCTTGATTAAACTGTTTTGAAATTAATTTTCCGTCTGTTATAGCTCCCAAAAGAGCATCTTTGTTTACCCACCTTGTAATATCGTAGACCATGAGAGCCCCTGCAGCCCCTCTATAGTAACTCCGGGTTACTGCCCGGAACCGCTCCTGGCCAGCTGTGTCCCATATCTGTAGCTTAATCTTCTGACCCGATACCTCGATTATTCTGAAACGAAGAAGGAAAGGCATTTGCCATTGCATAACAATATTTAAAGAAAATAATCCTTAAAACATGGAATTGAATACAGCAAATAAATAATTTTTCTTCTATCTGAAAATAACATTTAAGAAGTAACTCAACCTTCTTCTAACGACATGCTGTCATCTGTTGGGATGAAGCCTCTCTCTATGCAATGTATCCCCAGACACATCCACTAGTCAATATCACTGATAATTAAAAGTCATGTCCGTTTGCAAGAAGTGTGGCGAGACTTTATAAAACATGGCGGACATGCATAATTCAAGTGGATCTGAAGTTCACAGGTAAACTGACTTAGCTAGGTGTGAAAATAGTCAGTCAAGACTAACAGTTGCATTATCATATATCAGTTTCTGTTTTTTTATGTCTCACTGTTTTGGGGTTAATACCCACATTCTGGTTCATCTCAGATGATTTTTTTTAACGTGAAACAGAAAATAGCATGTACAATATGTACCAGTAGGCAGTAGATTTCATGGGAGGTTATATTACAGGATGTGAAAATTTGTCTAAACTACTAATTTCATTAGACAACTTGAATGTCAGACAGTCATATTTTAATTTATTAGGATGATGGACTATAAACATTATTCATCAACGCATAATGTCAATTATTGTTCATCTTTAATTAATCTGACGGAAGAATTTCAGACCATCTGATCAGATGATGGATATGCAAAAAATGGCACCAATTTTGTGACCAATGTCCTTTGCCAAACAAATTCAACATCAGCCATACAAAAAAGTATCCTGTCTATACACAGTAATATTAGAGGCTTAACCACAGGTGAGTACAGATGATCGCAGCTACTTACCTGGTACCAAACTCAACACCTATTGTATGTGGACAATCTGCCATAACTGAAAATTAAATTAAAACAAAAACATTAATATATTTCAGCATTCATTGTCAGGAAGCTTAACGAATACATGAACAAATGAAGAGATTTAACCAGTCTATTTTTGATTGTACAAAGAAAATCAATGGATGGAAAATATGGGCAATGATTGACACCCTAGCTTATTTGTCATATATAGTTTTATTAAGATTATCTTTTAGAATTGGAAATTGATTGAGTAAACAGAATTACTGATTTAAAATATAAGATTTCGCACCATCAATTTTAGCTGAATAGTGAAAACCAGGTGACATTATCAAATTTATAGGAATCAAAAATGTATAGGAATCAAAAATTATGAAAACTGAATATCCATCTACAAAATAAGAAGGTAAAACGCTATGTAAAAATTCAGATGTAGTACTGTAATATGTTACCTTTGCCTCCCAACTGATGTGAAAATATGATTCCAAAAAAGAAGTATGATTTCAAAAACTGACTTGTTACACAGAGTTTGTCGTTTAATTTAATTGTGTACAAGGGACTAGTTTTTTGATGTCCAAAATAATGAAATGATTCTTTCTGTACTTGTATTTATTAAGTTATTGATCTGAACCAATAATTATCATAAGTCAGTTAAAAATGTATATTTTCAGTTGCTCTGCATTAACACTATATAACCTTACCAAACAAAAGGGAAAGATATCATATCATAATTCTCACATAATTCCCATTGGTGTAGTGATATGAAGAACATGTTTGTGTCACCTTGACTAAATGACGTCATTTTGACCGATGATTAATGTAACTCGCAACAATTTATATATGTAGTTATGTTGTATGAAAGGTGAATATCCTCACGGTGGAATATATTGATAAAATTGTTGAAATTAAATTGACGATTTTGTGTTTATTTCCACGAACTATATTTTTTGCCTGGAACGGCCGTGTGTACTCGTGATATCACAAGAACAAATCCCATTGACAGACAGCGCTAAATCTGACTTTGAAATGCAATAACATACTTAAATTAAACCGGAAGCATAAGTATTAAACTGCCTTCTTTGGAAAGTTATTGTCCTTTAATTCTCACAGGATTGCAGACAAATTAATTAATACATGCTAACGCGGCTATTCAATTTGTCTGCAATCCTGTGAGAATTATAGGACAATAACTTTCCAAAGAAGGCAGTTTAATGCTTAAATATCACTAATTCCTAACACTAATAAACTACTCTAATTGTCAAATAATGACATCAGTATTAGTGTGTCACCTGTGACTCATAACCGTATATAAACAACAGAAATTGATCTTGGTAATGAATAATGAGCAGAAGCTATCAGTTCACCTGTCATAAAATTTACATCAATTCAAACGGTATGTTAAATAACTTCCCGAAAAACTTACATTTCTTTTCTGTAAACTGGTGTAACAGACATGATTTCCCTACACCCATGTCTCCTATAATAATGTATTTGAATATATAGGAGTAGTTGTATGGGCCCGCCGCCATAACTGTAAAATTTCCTGTGAATATAAAATGTTCATATTAATTTTTAAAAAGTTAAGGCAACAGTACTATTTAAACAGTAATAGAATGCAACTGGATAAATATATATATAGTAAATCTACTTGACCTGGTTTAAGCAGGAATATAGCTTATTAAGATTAAACTTAACTAGAACCTATCAAATTTGACACCTACATAAAAAATTGGGGCATCAATACAAAAGAAGTTAAGTAAAATAACAAATTTTCTCTCAACTTCTGGAGTTAAGCTCTGGATCTATTTATTAATTATTCAGGTTGGGCACAACGACGCATTTCATATGGGTACTAATCCTGCATTTGGTAATAGTTACCCATTGGTGTATAATCTTATAACTGAAATGGGGAATAAAGTGAAATAAAAACACACAAATTTCTTTTAAATACTTGGAGTATAAAGGATGTTATTCTTTCAACAAAATCCAATAAATAACACAATGAAGCACATTTGTGCAAGAAAATTATCAATTATGATGTCTAACCTAAAAGGACAAACCATATCAATGACTTTGTTCTCCATTGACTTCAGTGTGTAGTCAATGGGATTATCTAGTGCAAATGCGAGAGGTAAGCATGCGCATGATTTTTTTCTGTGTGCTATTTATAGCTACTCTACAACACACTATAAGCAATAGAGGTGATATAATTTGTCATTTTCACAAAAATTCAAACTGAATTAATAATTCTTTTGCCAAATTGTACCTCATTGTATTTCTTATTGGATTATGCTGAGAGAATGACACCCTTTTTTAATCATAAGTGTAAAAGAACTGGGTATGTTTTTATTTCACTTTATTCCCCATTTCAGGAATAAAATTGTTAATCAAATGAGTTATTGTTACCGAAATGCAGGATCAATTCCAACTGTATTTGTAATAGGATGAGGAATAGGGATAAAGATAGTGCCGTCGCTGGGGGCTAAAACCGGCAAACCTTGGCTCTCCAGCCCGATGCTCCACCGCTGAGCTAAAGGGAAATTTCTTACAGCTGACGCTTGTAGGGCAACCTATTCAATGCACTTCTTTTACACTATTCCCCCCTTTTTTCAAACACCATACTGGGTTTTTTGACTCCCCACAAAGGGTTAATCTTCCTTGAAAGGGGAGGGTGATAACGGCACCAATTTGTAATAGGACGAGGAATAGTGATAAAGATAGTGCCGTTGCTTGGCCTCAAACCCATGACCCTTGGCTCTCCAGCCCAATGCTCTACCGCTGAGTTAAAGGGAAATTCCCTACAGTTGACGCTTGTAAGGCAATCTATTCAATGCACTTCTTTTACATGTACACTTGTATGTGCTGGTCATGATCACTGACATCTCGCAAAGACAATCAACTAACTGGTTGGCTGTCAAATGATTCAAATCCAAGTCTGCCCATTGTCTTGTAACACTCAGGACACTCCTGTTGCAGAACTAGCTAATTGTTTATTTTATGAGATGGACTGGGGATATTTAATGTTAACATATCCGTGCTATCCATGGTATGCTTTATGAAACTGAAGTAGACTGTTCTCAGTCTTTTTTTTTTTAGATTTTTTCAATCACATTTTTAGCAAAATAAAAGGAATTATTCCCAAAATTCTTCGATACATATAACGTAGCCTAAACGCTGCACATAATACTCGACAGAGGGTGTTGCAGAATATCTAGATAGAAGTCATATTTCCCTCATGACGAAACTTGTTCACTCAATGAAGAAAAGCGCCGAACCTTCCAAGGCAAATCCAATCAAATTTCGTCTACGTTTTCAACTTGTAAGTTTGTGGTCAACCCTGGACCTGAGTAAGTTTCAATCACATTCAAGATATTTTATGCACAGCCATTTACAAATCTGAGTATTGGCATGCTTTGATTCACAATTGTCAACGCATAATGTCAACAAACACAAAAATGGGAAGTGCCTGGGAAGTCAGGTGATCGGTTTCGATAGCTTATAAAGGCCGCTTTCTTAGTTATTGTGAAGATAATAGAGATCTGAGTATCATGATGAAAGATATGTGACACTAGATGATACAAAAATTGTAAAATTGGATAAGTTTAACCCAAAGTATAGATGATTATGTACCTGCTTTGAATCGTATCAGTGATTATGCTCTGAATCAGCAACAAGATGGCGGATAATGACGTCGATTATGGCGCCATCTTATGTGTAATAGGTAAGGGGGGTTACTCTAGCCTAGTCACGGTCGATTTATTTTGGCATACTTTGAAAATTTGGTTTTTCAAAGATATGATACCATAAAAATACCTTCTGTCAAGATATGCTTAAAATTGCGTCATATGAATAATAATAAAATGTGGTGTGTTTTCGGACGTTAATTTGTTTGTTATGCATTCACTGCCTACATAAAATACTTCTCACATTCTTATCGACTGCAAAATATTTTTTCATAACCTTTCACACCTAATTCATCCCAAATGTCACACTTTAAGGTTTTCTAGGTTATTTTTCTAAATTTTATACTTTTTAGTTTTAGAAACTTTAGAAAGCAAATAAATATTTCTTTACAGTTATATCTTTTTTAATTAATAAAAACAGAAAAAAATCAGGATAGAAAGTGTTGCTTTAAGTTATGTAAAAGCTTTTTTTTTGCTGGGCACGGTAGTCCAGTGGTAGGACGCCGGGCTCGTGACTGAAGGGTTGCGGGTTCGCGCCACGGCACGACAATGTGTTGTGATTTATTGATTTAAACATTTTTTATTTGTCATTCAACAAAAAGGATTAGGNGTAAAGCCCCATCAATCAATCAACATGGTAGAGTGAACGAAACGTATTATAGTAGAAAGGTGGGTGTTTCTATATGTGTTTAAATGTTTTATGTATGTCCGACCCCATTCCTGGTGTTCTCCCATGATAAGTTTCAGGCAATTTATTTTGGAAAAAATCAAAATGATTTAACAAATTTCGAAATTGAAGGAGTAAAAATTGACTGTGAAGAAAATGTAAAGCTACCTGGAGTAAATATAGATTCAAAATTAAATTTTGACCAACACATCTCAGAGCTATGTTGAAAAGCCTCAAAACAGTTGGCGGTACTCAAGCGAATTGGAAACTCCTTACCAAAAAATGTAAAAATGTTAATTCTCAAATCCTTTGTAATGTCAAACTTTAATTTTTGTCCTGTTATTTGGCACTTTTGTAATAAATCTAGCACAAACAAGATGAAAAAATCCAGGAGAGAGGACTACGTTTTGTACTAAATGATTATATCTCAGACTACAAGGATATTTTATCGAGCACAGACTCATATTATCTACATATTACTCGCATGAAACTCATTGCTTGTGAAGTTTTTAAAATTGTTTATAAGTTATCTCCTGACTACCAACAAGAAATAATAAATATAAAATGTTCATCTTATTCATTTAGGAATGAAAATACAGCACAGCTTCCAAGGGTCAACACCACCAGGTATGGAAAGAGGTCCTTCCGCTATGAGGGCGCCCGCATATGGAACAGCCTGCCGAACGAATTGCGTAAAGTGAACTACTCCGAGTTCGGCAGACTGATCCGTAGGTGGGACGGGCCCGAGTGCGGATGCACTTTATGTGTTGGTTAGCGTTTCTGGCTACCTATTTTTCCTGCTTCGTATGTGTCCTGTGCTGGCTGAAGTGTATTGTTTAAAATGTAACGTACAGCTTTACATATGGCTCTGTGCTTTTTGTCAGCTTTGTAGTTTTCAATTTGATGCTTTTGTCATATGTTTATTTTCTGCAAATGTGCTGTACATACTTTATATGCTTCATATTTTTACTGTTTAACGTTTCAATATGTACGTGTATTTTGTAAAAAAATCTTGTTATGTATTTTGTTCTTTACATGTGTTTGTCGAAATACAAGCTCTTCGTAGCTTATGTTGTATGTTTATAATATTCGACGTAAAATAAAGCTTCTGTATCTGTATCTGTATCTGTATATCNAATATTAACTCTATACAAATCATAATTTAAACTACTACATGAATGACACAATCGTGTATGTAAAATATCTAGTTTTCGATTTCCTACATGAAAAAAAATAGGCAACAAGTAACTTTTGTTACGCTGAATCGATGATTTAAAAATGTTAACGGATGGCTGCTCTCTGACAGTGTTTGGTAAATCGTTCCATACCTTATAGAAGGAATAAAGGATTGGAATGAACTAGACAGACGGAAATTGGGAACAGTGTAGTTTTCAGTATTTCTCAAGTTGTAGCTATTGCGTTCGCATACTTAAGGAGGAAGAATGTTAGGTAAATAAGAAGGTGTTTGTTTATTATGGAGTTTGTACATTAGGGAAAGTTTCTTAAGTTTTCTTCTTTCAGTGTGTTGTATCCTTGAGCAAGATACTTTACTCAGCTTGTTCCAGTCTACTCAGCTGTAACTTAGTACGTGGTTGGGCAGTGCTAGAATTGTTGAATGCTAGCTGTTAGCGCCGAAATGGCAGCTCCGGCTGTATGCTACCCAAGGAGTTGAGAAATGCATTGGCTGGTAACAAAGGCCCTATAATCACGGATAATAGTTTGTGAACCGCTCATATGGAGAAATGACGGTCACTTTGCTGATTTGCATAATCCGCCATCTTGGATAAAATGGCGGCCATTTGGCCCATTGGGATAACACAATGGCCACATGATTCGAAAAAAATAACTTACAACTTCTCACTGATCTTACATGTTATATGTAAATTATTTAATATTTCTTTTTAGTTATATTTTCCAGAACATATATGCCGTGACATAAAGTTTTTTCCCTGTTTCAGACGCTGTTAAATAAATGTGTAGACAATCTTTTATTCTAAGTTGGTATCACATATGAACGTATTTGCTCGATCACCTCATAATTTTTATACGTCAAAAAAGGAGCAAAAACGGATTTTCATGACGAGAAATTAAAGCATAATGATACTGACATGTACTTGAAGCTATAATCGATGTTGTTATATTTTTTAATTGATAAGTCAATCCGTCTGCCTTATTGTTGAATAAAATATGTAAATTTATCAGTCGTTCCAACTAACTATATTTAAATTCAACATTTGAAAAAGAGCTGGTATTCCAGCCTAGCCTCCGAAATGATCATCTGAGACATGTAAATTTAATCTTTCTCTCCGGGACAGTCTGGTTCACGTCTTGCACCCCTTATCTGTTAAATATAAATATACACAGTCCTTAGTATATTAAGTAACACCCGTCAGCCCGTGGTTATTCTGTCCTTATTGTTTTAGAATCTTTGTATCACGTATACTAACAGTACTACTGCAATATATATGATATTGCAATCGTCATATTTGGTATTGTTTTATTCTAATCATGCAACTTTTTTAAGATACCACACCTTTTAGGCTATAGATTCACTTGTTGGAATTTTAGTTAAAACCAGTCGTGCAGTTGATAATTGAATTACATTACCCCTTCGGGGGCCCCTTGAACTTTCGCAAATTTCTGATTTTAAAACACGAATTTCTCGTTAACCACGAGGATTTGGATTTTGTAGGTTAATGTTTCACAATTAACATCTTAAATGTCTTCTAACATATAAATAAAATAAGATTTGTATATAGTGTAGACGTAACAAGTACAAAATGCACATTGTTTATGCTCCTTCATCGGTAGTATAGAATGTGCGAGAATGACAGCTGTCTGGCTGTATATTCTATATTTTTCCTTATATTGAGAAGATATGTAACTCCCGTTCCCATTATCTTTGATAAATTTCGTTCAATGTGACCAGTTGGTTAATTTTATTCTACAGAGTTGTCTTGAAATACGCCAAAATCGTAACTAAAATGAGCCTGGAAATTATTTTTTTCTGTTGCCATGGTGTCGCGGAAAAACTATGATGATCACGTGATCAAACATGCCCCGTCCCTCATTAATATTCGTGAGGAAAAGTGGCACTCATTTCTCCATATGTTTGAGACGACCTACGAACTAAGATGTGATAAAGCGGTTTATTATACCTCTACTTTATTTACTCTGTATAAAAGTAATTGGTTAAATCGAATATATCCCCACTTTTGCCTAACTGTGTTTTAGTCCTGTGTGTTAGTCTGGGAACTAAAACACACCTACACTCGGGTGTTTCCGCCGAGCCAATCAGGCGAGAGGTAGGCGGAGCTTGTTACCGAACTCTGAAGCAATGCTCGAGGTGGGCGGAGCTTGATACCGAACTCAGAAGCATTTGGCTTCATTGCCATCAAAGGGGTAGTTGGGACGTGAAGCTATACAGCTTATGGCTTACAAATATTTTGTAGTTAACACTATCTCACCAGTGTGTATCGGTATAATAAAACGGTTAAAGTATGGGGTTGAGGGATATAGCAAGTTTCTGGTGTCTCTTGACCATGCCTATTTCCCTCGGCTTCTCCTCGGGAAATAGACCTGGTCTCGGGACACCAGAAACTTGCTATATCCCTCAGCCCCATACTTTAACTGTATAATATAAGAACCTCCAATTATATCTTTATTCCGGCCGCGACCTTCGGCCCAGCCAGCCGCTCTACCGGTTGAGCTAAAGTGAAAAACAGATAAATGGTCGTGAAATGGCAACTAACGGAACATGTAATCTCATTTAATAAAAGGAGTGTGTAGGATATGTCCAACAATAAATGTTAACCCTAAATGCAATTACAAAATTGGTTTACATAATGTAACACTATATCAATGTCAAAAGAATGCGTGGAAATATCAGAACATATATAAGCCCCAAATGGAAATTAAGGAAAGAGCTAGTACACAATAGAATGGTTCTGCTGATCAAAGTCTATCCGTTGAATGTGAGTAGATCCGTGTTTCACAAACATGGTATATTGTCTTTGATGTTCCAGTGTCTACATGCCATGTGTAACAGGACACTCACTTATTCATCAGTATTGATGTATATGGTATTAATCGTTCCCCGGATGTTCCACAAACAAATCGGTCACAATGGGAGAAATTGAAATGTCCACAATGGTGCCGAAGTGTTGCTGATAGATGGTATCTCGGAATATATTTTTTAAAGCTGATATATGTTGTCACCACATATTCTAGCAAATCCATGATGTCATGAAGATTGACGATTGTCGCTCTTCGCCAGGATTTATCTACCTGGTGATACTTTCTGCCAGATCTTATGAGTTGGAGACTTTGTACAATGTATTTGATTTACGCACTCACGCTAGAGACA